GGGTGCCACAGGAGCACGGGGTGCCCACAGGAGCACGGGGTGCCACAGGAGCATGGCGTGCCACGGGAGCACATGTGGGGAACAATTTTCTGGAGTTCTCTCATTTCACTGTAAGTTCCGGGGTTGTGAGGCTTGTAAGGTACTTCCACATACTGAACCATCCTACCTACTCAGTTTTAAGAAACTTACCTCCCATTTTGGGGAGGTCAAAGGTTTTTTTGTGGCCTCCCATAGTTTCAGGTTTTTCCAGGTGAAGTCACTTTCTGAGAGGTCCTTTCCCCAGAAAAACGAAACAAAACAAAAACAACTCTCCATCAAATTCTCAGAACTACGCTACTCCCGCTGGAATTTCCTGTTAACCTTCCGCGAAGCTGTACTGAACAGACTTGCGGGTCGGCAGAGTCCCTGATGGTTGAGGCTCAGGGGTAACATGTTCCAGAATGCCCAGCAAGAGTGCTGTGTAATTCTAGGGTGTTACTCTACTGTTTATACACAAATGTTTACAACACAGCTATTATTACGAATAATAATCATAATCACTACATATTTAATTGGGGCCCTGTACGAACTCAATGTGATTCTCAACCTATCATTGGACACTCTAGAGTGTCCTCATTTTAAGATTTGGAGAGCACTCTTGTGGTTTTACAGGCAGCCTGTCTGGGACTACATTGTCTGGAGAACTCTATTCAATCTAGAATCCTGCATCAGAGATGCCATTTGGTTATTTTGCTGTGTTTGCCCCCGCCCCCTGCAAAACCCTAAAAACAAAACAAAACAAAACCCCAAACCAAACAAACAAAAAGCAAGGGTGGAAAAGATACAGTTGGGAAACTGGGGCAAGCTTAACCAAGACTATAAACTTCCAAACAATACTCAGATCCCACACAAGCTTCAGCCAGCAGATTCTCAGCAAACCCACCCACCTACTGCAGGAATACTGGGCTGGCTGCTGGTGGAGAGCCCTTGTGCTTAGCAAAGACTCCAGAAGCTTTTCCAGGTGAGTCACAGGCATCTCTGCCTGGGGTCTGCACCATCCACTGCTTCCATCCAAGCCAAGGCTTCCCTGTCAGCTCTGCCCATTGTTCCAAGACAGCAAGCAGTTGGAAACTGGTGGGCTGGAGGCCAGCTGTGGACTGCAGGTGGTTTGTCATGGTCATATTTTTGTCTTCTTGTTTACTGGTTCTTAAAAATGTAAATTAACCACATCAACCTTAAAAACAAGACAAAACACAATTTCAAATAGCAGTCTTTCTTTTTTTTTTTTTTTTCTTCTCATGAAAAACTGAAAGGCTCTTCTACAGTGGCCTTGACAAAAGAGCACTTTAGAGGAAGTTCATGTTTATTCTGCACTGGCCACCCCCTTTCAGGTTTCCCTGTCTGAGCTAGGAGGCCCTTGAATTCCCTAGTCTCCCTGTGGGCTGGGTCTGCTCTCCCTCACTCTCTGCAGGCTGGGCCTGCTCTCTCCCACCCTCTGCAGGCTGGGCCTGCTCTCTCCCACCCTCTGCAGGCTGGGCCTGCTGCTCTCACCCTCTGGTCTCTGACTTGTTATCTACATTTTTTAAAAATGGTAATTACTATGTATTATTAGTGTTTACATTTTGGTAACTACATTGTTTCATGTATCTCTTGCCTTTTCTGCAAACACTGGAACATTCTTGCATTATCCTATAACAAGCTCTGCCAGCTTTTTGATTTTTTTTTTAATAACTGCTTTGTGTTTGATTTCATACTTCCTGCCCTTCTTTTCTGAAAGTGATGTGTGACAGGTTTAGAATTTTAGGTCTCCTACTGATGTAACTGGGAAAAGTCCCCTCAGCAGTAGTTGAGAACTCTTCCTTTGGATCACAAACCCCATGACCAAACCCATGCAGAATTTTCCTTCTCATGCAAGGTAAAACCTATAACCAGCCATTGGTTTTGGACTCAAACACTGCTGCTGTGTATGTTGACTTCTGCATGAACTAGAGAATTAAAAGGAAACAATGTGATGATGTCTGTTGATGATTGACACTGTCATTTTTTTTCTGTAAATAGATTTAAGGGATCATTGTAGCAAGTAGCAGGAATGATTGCCAAGTCTTAAGTGATCTAAGCAGGAGACCTGTACTAACTGGGTTCTCAGTCGACTGGAGTCAAAATCGTCTTTTCCACCTACTGCCACTACATCTATATTGAAGTCTCGAAGAAGCTCTCTGGGGCATTAAAGTTATACTTCAGAAATCTGGGGGGAAATGCAGCTTTAAAAAGCTAAAAAAAAAAATTAAATTAAATTAAAAATAGGGGGTGGGGAATGGTGGCACACACTTTTAATTCTAGCACTTGGGAGGTGGAGGCGGGTAGATCTCTGAGTTTGAGGCTAGCCTGGTCTATAGAATGAGTTCCAGGACAACAGAGAAACCCTGTCTTGAAAAGCCAAAACAAATAAATAAATAAGTAAATAAATAAATAGATATAACCTCTGGTCCTTACTGAATTCAAATTAACACACAGTTTATATAGTTGGAAAAAGAAAAGATTTTTGGATATATATTTTATTTGACAGTGTTTTAGAATATCATACAGTAAACAAGATTTCTGTAAAAGTTAATTTATCCATAGTGGTGCGTTTCATAAAAATAGTTGCTCACTTACAGTCTTTCTGTGACTATTAATACATGGAATTATATTTATAGAGATACAGCTGTACAGGGTAAATTCACAGCTAACACTACACAGAAGTATTATTGGAATGAGATTCAGATGATGTGCTGTCTTCACAGGTTACGGATTACAGCCGCATAAAGCAATCACTGCACGAGCAGTCGCTGTGAACTGTGCAAGTCAGAGTCTATGCAAGCGTAATCTCCGTGGTTCCTTCTGTAACATGGAAAATAAAGGGCAGAGGGTACAGTACCAGGACGTGCAGCTACACTACAGAAGTATTGTCCAAAACCAGATTCCATAAATTAATGGCAAACCACACTGGATTTCTAGTCCAGGGGAGAAAGACGAATTGAGATTAAACCCAAAGCATAAACCAGGGCATGTGTTTGTGCTTTTGTCTATGATGAATGTGTTTCACTTTGGAAATTGCTTTTACAAGCTGCAAGACCCTTCCTAGGAGGCTTTCGGCCACACCGGCTTGTCAAACAACGATCCCTATGTCTGATGGGAATTAAACTAGGTAGTGCTCAGGTTACAAAGAGGGAAAGACTCCCTTGGGGACAGCTTTTCCGTGTGACCAGGTGTGATGGGCCTGACCTCTCCTTTTACTTATTTGACTACAAGTGCGGAGGAGTGAGGAGTCTTATTTGCTTTGGAACTTGTGAAAGGGGCAAAATATGGGAAGGAATGAAGCTTCAATTACACAAAATATATTCATGACAAATTGTCTTTAGACAGCTTGCCTTTTAATATGTGCAGCTAATAAGTACCTATTGATAACTGATTGAGGCTAACGTTTTACGGTTTTACTACAGGGTCAGTCATTGACCTATGATGGTAACCGGGTAACGCAAAGGATCATCTATAGATTGTTAGTGTAATAAAAAACTTTATACAAGGCGAAAGCAAACCAAATGGGAACCAAAGGGACATCAAATAAGGAAAGATAAACAGAAAGGATGCCAAAGGACTCATGTTCTTTAATGAAAATAAATTAGTTATCATGTTTTTAATATTAGAGATTCATTCTAATTTGAGAAATATAGGACAAATACTTTGTCAAAGTGCAAATGAAGTAACGAAGAGGTTTTAAAATAAGACAATAAAATAGGTAAAATAGAACATTGCTAACAAAGCAGCTACCTATCTCTCTGCGCCTGGTATGACAGGAAAGCCTTTTCAGGAAGGAACTGCAGCGTTGCCCATCTCGATTAAACAGATTATGGTCTTCTGATTATAAAACTCATATTTTAGAAGAAAACCAATTAAGATCTACGTGCTAACCTGCGAAATTCTGACTTACGGCAAACTGTTCCCTAGGATACAATTTTTAAAACCTTTTTCCCCTACCACTGAAAATGTACAGAAATGACTTGATCACAGAAATGGCAGTAAAAACGGCATCACACCAATGAATTCACTAGGTTTCTAACTCATCCTGCGGTAGGCAGGGAATGGTGCTAATACCGTTGGTGGATGCCGAGGGTGAGCCATGGAAACGTCATGGGCGAACAGTTCTAATGTTTCAAAGAAACCCTTTAACCCCTGTCTAGATTTGTCAAGAACGATTTATTTACAACACTTTAGATCAATTAAAAGATATAATCTTGTCTCAGTTTCCGCTTGCTCCGTGCAGTTTGATTTTTTTTAAGGCGATATTCCAGTTTGTGATTGCTCTGAACTTGTCCAGTTTCTTGATATAAAGTTTGGATGACATCCGAAACCTTCATGCAGTGGGGGAAACTTTTTTTCTTTCTCTTTTTAAACTAAAGCTACACTGCACTGTCTCTCTGTGATGTTTGCGTGATTTTGGTTCTTCCATAGCTGCCAAAGCTCCCACCATGGAACCGGGGGCTTTAGGATCAGTTTAGGTCTGCGAGCACACCTTGCCGCGCCGCCCACGCGCGTCGCACACCGATGCTCCCAGGCCTCGGCGCCTCGTGTGGATCTATGCGTGTGACAGTGAAAATAAATTAAAACGCCGTGAGACGGAACCCGGGAAGAACGGCCTGCGTGGAGGCGGCTGGGCCCCCTCATCTGCCCGCGGCCGAGGCGCCGGGCTGCAGGGCGCCCGGCAGCTTGTCGGAGC